CTTAATGCTTATATCGGCTTGATCACCCGTTGTATGATTTTTGGCTTTTGAATCCAGTTGGAAAACGTTTTCGAAAACCCGAACTGAATCTTGCACCTAATCATTTCTTGTTCTAGGAATAGACTTGATTTGGTTAGTCACATTGTTCAAGTCATTGTTCTTAATGCGAAGTGTTAAACTCAAAACATAGAGGAATCATGTTTTGAGCTTAATGACTTTAGGATTCAACCTTGAGGAATCTTGTTGAATTACTTAATGAATGTGGAAATAATGGAATTAGAATCGCATTTATTTTAAGAAGATCTACGAGTTAGCAAGTGCTCCTGAATCAATCCTTGTTTCTTAACCATTGTCTTTACTACTTTTATTTTATCGTGTTGATTTATTCCATCTTTACCCATTTGCAATTTTAACATCATTCTGTTTTAAATCATTAGAGCAAGAATTACTAAACACTCAAATTCCTGAGGACGATATTTGAATACTACTTCGAAACTTGGTTCACTTGCCAAGTGGTGGGTTGCGAAAAGCCCTCATCAATTATTCCAATGGTTTGTAAAGTAGTTATGTTGAAGTGTTGATATGTGAAATCAGGTTGAAATATTGTTGAGATGTATAGTTGTTATTGATATTAAATTATTATGAGTTGTTTATTGTCTCTAGCTTACCCTTGCATGTTTCCATGTGGTTTGGACTGCGATGATCATACGTGGTATGGGAGCAGGGCATGGATAGGCTAGGAGGTAGCTGCTAGAGGTCACAGGAGGTGCCTGAAGATGGATATTTTTTTGTAGGCTACCTTATAGTAGCATATTTCTTGTATATAACTAGTTGTTGTTTGTTGCTTGATTAGCAACTTGTGTTGTAAATATTTATTATACTATTTTAGTATATATTCGAGCAGTGTGTAGTGTTGTTCCGTAGTGTGACGGCCACGGCGGGTCGTTACACTTTTATGGTATCAGAGCAGTTTGAGTCTAGTAGACACTCTATGGGGGTGGTTCCTTTAGGCTTTTGTTGTGTTGAACTCTGTGTTGTGTTGGATGTTGTGCTTATTTGTGTTGAGTAGTTGAGATGTAGTGTGTTGAATGAGTTTTTCATTTTATAGAAGATGCTTAGAACATGAGTAGATAGCCCATGCCATGGAGATGATGGCTATGGCTATGCAATAGCGGAATGCCTACTTTGCTAAGATGGATGCTGAGAGAGCTACGACTAGTGCCTCAAGACCAGTTGGGTCATAGGAGAGTCGTGTTTTGGCTGAGTTCAGGAAGTGTAGTCCTCCTTAGTACAGAGGTGATGCAGATCCGGAGGTGGCTGACCACTGGATTTGCGAGTTGGAAAAGATATTCTTAGTTCTAGATTGTTCAGAGGAGTGAAAGCTCACCTATGCAGTGTATATGTTGACTGGGGAGGTAGAGTATTGTTGGAGAGGTACGAGTCACATACTGATTGACTGTGGAGTGCTTATGGACCGGGTGTGCTTCAAGAGGGCCTTCCTCGAGAAGTACTTCCTAGTGAGTGTCAAGCATGCTCGGGAGGCAGAGTTTATGAGATTACAGCAATGGGGAATGTTGGTGACCGAGTATGCCGTGAGATTTGAGCCCTTGGCGCACTTCTACACCCAAGCCACCTCTGAGGCTTGGAAGTGTAGGAAGTTTGTTGAAGGCTTGAAGTATGATTTGAGGAGAATGGTGGTGCCTATGGCCATCATGGAGTTTCCAGCCTTGGTAGAGAAGGCGAAGGTTATAAAGCGGCTAGAGAGTGTCGGCAAGCCGAAGAAGATTGTTGGTGGACCAGTTGGGTCCAAGAGTTGTGGTGGTCTTCAGAGGAAGCCTTATGATAAGCCCTAATCACAACAAGGTGGGGTTCTATCACAAGGAAACCTATTGACACAACTAGGAGTGGAGGTTAGAGTGGAGCTGCTACTCTCAGATGTTACAGATGTGGTGGACCTCACTTCATTCGTGATTGCCCTCATACCGAGAGCAAGTGTTTTAGGTGTGGCTAGATGGGTCACATGTCGACTAGTTGTCCTGTAGGTACCAGACAGACCAGGAGTGCCCCGAGGGGTGATAGATCTACTGTAGCTGGGAGGGTGTTTGTCTTGACTGGAGTCAAAGCTTCCACTTCATCTAATCTAATGAAGGGGAAGGGTAAGGCTACTGGTAAGGATGTGATTATGTTATTTAACTCAGGCCCCCCATTCATTTATTTTATATAAATGTGTTGAAAAGTTGGATTTGCATGTACGTAATTTGGGGTTGAGATTGTTTGTGTCTACGCATGCTTCTATTTCTATTATTGTCTCTAAGATGTGTTTGGTTGTCCCTTGGAGACGTGTGATAGGAAGTATAAGGTGAACTTGATCTGTTTGCCTTTAGTGGATATTGACATAATCTTAGGGATGAATTGGTTATCTGCCAATCACATTCTTATAGATTGTGCCAATATGGAGTTAGTTTTTCCCTTAGGGGGATGATGAATTGTTGATTTCAGCCAGCCAAGCTGAAGTGATGTTGAGAGATGGAGCAGAGTGTTGTTGATGAAATCATGCTTAAGAAGACAAGAGGTGACATCCTAGAAGAACGGGCCCGCGCCCGAGAAAAAGCAGCGAGCCCCTGCAGCTCCCCCACTCGAGAAGCATAAGCCTCATTGGACCACAATGCAATCTCAAGATATTTCTGCACCCGCGCAAGGTCGCTACGCGCGGTCCGGAGCTCAGCCTTCCGCCGCTTCGCCTCATCAAGAGCCGCGGTGAGAGTCTTGTTATCCTCCCTCAGGATCTTGTTCACCTCCTTCCATGGCTGAAGCCGGCCCTTCACCTTAGCCAGCTCCTGCTCTTGCTTGGCCAGCTCCTGCTCCCGCTTAGCCAGCTCCTGCTGCTGCTTGGCCAAGTCTTCTCGCTG